GATGATTTCTGCATTCCATTGGGTCACCTCTCTTTGGAATTGGCACAAATACAGACCTCTTCCATCAGTTGGCTAGACAGTTGTCTTCCAAATTTCTTGGCATATATGAGTGAGTAACCTCCAGTGCCACCTTACTTTCTTGAAAGATTTCAATTTTTATTAAAGTAACTTAGAGAAATAATAATTAAGAGAATAGGAGAATCCAACTCAAGATCTCAGACTGTGGCCAAGGCTTTCAAAGTCCAACAAGAGAGAGGGGAAACCCCATTGGTTTTCCTCCAGAGACTTAGGGGTCAAATGAGAAAGAAATTACAAAAGACAGAGGGATGGAGTAATAGACCTATTTATGAACTATTAATTTGAAGCTCAGAAAGTTTTTGTAGAGAGGAGGAGAAGCAAAATCAGAAAGCCAGAAACACGGTATCTACTGTGGATAAAGTAATAAATAACAGACTAGAACAAGACCTCCATTCTTTGAGAGAAGTGGGACAGTGGTCCTAGTGTTTGGCTTCCTCAGATGACAGGAAGAAGAGGGCTGGCCAGGTACCCAAGACCCCCAGGGGATGCTGTAAGCATGGGAAGAAAGGCCATTTCAAAAGAGAATGATGAGAAGAGGGGGCAAGGCAGCAATGAAGAAACGGGCTGAGCTCAACCACGCTCCATAGACAGCACAAGAACACCCAAATGTGCAGATAGTACTCATGTGACCTAGCCTCGATGGCTTGATAACCAGAACTTGACTAGAGAAAGAAAAAAAAAAATTTCTTTTGATAAAGGAAATCTGTGTAAATTGCTACAATTTTATGAACTTGACCTATACTTATGAATGACGTAGCTCAAAATACCAACTGAGATGGAAGGAGTCATCATATCAAATAGCAATCCTATCCCCTCTGTATATGGGGTTGACAGAGACAGGCAACTTAGACACTGGCCACCTAAAATGAGGGGTGATAAAGGCACAAAGTGACTGGCTTACAAGTTTTCAAAAGGGAGTTTAGTTTAAAAGTATGTGGGAGAAGGTACAGTCCCCACTGAATAGTTTTCAACTTGTCTAGACGGGTCTGGTGAAAAGA